TTTTCCCGAGATTAGTGATAAGAAAAAAATTAATAAAATTTTGTAACTATTAAGCATAAATAATTTATAGAAATAAATATTTAAACGCTTGTGATAACATCTTTTGTCGAAATAATTTGAAAAATTATTAAAATACATGCAATGTTATATATTTTCTCTTCTTATGTGAATAAATATACAATTGAGAACTATAGCTATGAAACTATATATACTGACGATAAGTGTATTCGGATATAGATGCACAATAGATTTTGCACATGCACAATAGATTTATTAGCGAATTATTATTATATTAATTTCCAATATAAATATAGATATTAATTGCGTTTAGAAAAAAAAGCAGCTTTGCAACTGTTGTAAAATTCTTCAAGACAATTCGTTCTTGCCATTGTTTTTTTATGGATAAATATATAAATAAATTATATTGAAAAATCTTACAAGAATTTTACAGTATTTTATAATTATTTTACAGTAGTTGCAAAGATGTTTTTCCTGCTGAACGTAGTTTTTATGATCCTCTTTCGCAAATTGACATTATTTTAATTTGTCGTTATGTTGATATCAAATGACAACAAATAACATTAGCTTGTTACTTGAGGATTCTTTCTTTTCTTTTTTTTACTTTTATACAATACATTATGCAATAAAATCATAAAGTATGTTATAATCAAATTATTTCTATACTTTTTCAGATTATGTGGCAAATACAATTTAACTTATAAAGGCCCTCTACCATCCCCATCGATTATAATCGACAGTCCTCTTTTTTTACTTCAACAAGTTCACGTTGTCATAATTTTGATTTCAAAACAAAATTGAAGACATCATTTTAACGTCAAATGACGACAAATAACGTCAGCTTGTTTCCATTTCAGCAGTTGCTTCAGCAGTTTTCCATTTTCCTTTTTTTTTTAACTTTTAAACCAACATACTATACAAAAAAAGTTATAAAATATGTTACAATCGAATTACACATATATGTTTTTCATATAATTTGGTAAAAACAATTTATAGACCTTCATCACATCTCCTGTCATCTGCCGATCGGCAATTCTCTTTCCTTTACAATACCATAAAATAGCATAATTTTTATTCAAAATCAGAATAAATTTAGTCCAAATTTTGACAATACAGCACGCAAATCTGAACATGACATCTTAATAACGTAATCTTATAAAGAATTAATCGAACTATTGTCTTAAAAAAGTTTTAAGAGTCTTATGATTTTGGACATTGCATATACTTTTATAATTTATATCAAAATTTTTAGAACTTTTAGAAGACTTTTATTCTGTAACTCTTACTGACAATCAATGTCATTATATTGTCGTTACGTAGTTTTTTCATATATGAAATCTGCTCAATGACAACATATAACAATATTTACAGTTACTGTCGTTAATTGTAAGAATTACAAAATAGAGACTAAAGTTACCCCATTTTATGGTACATTTCTTTACATATTTATTACTTACATTATTTTTTATATAATTTTTATACAATTTTTATACAATTTACTTTACATTATACATAACATATTACAAAAAAATTACATTATAAAACTGAAAATATTATATACTGTACAATATATATACGCGCAAAATTTCTTTTTAACATGAAATTACAGAGAAAATTCAGTATCCGTAATAACACAAAATTCTCACGATCGCAATATAAAATATGTGGCTACATCCAATCGACAAATGATTATTACTAGCATTTATTATTAATTATTAAATACAACTGCAAAA